TGGTTGATTATAAACATGTCTATTTCACATTCGCGGAACCAAGTGAACGCATAAAACAAATGCAGGTCTGTAATGTTAAAGTCGATGTGAATAAGCGTGCTGCCCTTATGTTTCAACCGAGTTTTTCCTTTGACAAATTTTGTGTCTACCAAATTGGGTTGGTTGGGGTGTAATACTAATAATAAGTGTTGCCTTTAATTTAATCAATAAAATAAATTGACTTCATTAATTTTTTTGAACCACCTCTTAAGAAAATCTAAAAAATATGAATGGAATGATAAATCACAAGTACAAACTCATCATATTTTTTGCATTTTAGATAGGATTTATTCAGCAAAATTTAAGGGTGACGTCATCAATTTTTTTAGGAGGGATGAACAAATACATTTTGAACAAAAGTTTACCATGCTTATAATAAATTTAAAATATTCCCAAGATTTCAAAGCATTCGGTTTTGTAATTCCTGATTAAATCGATAAAATAAATTCACGCCTTCATTAATTTTTTTGAGTCACCCTGCATATGCAAATCCAAAAATATGAATGGAGTGATAAATCACAAGTACAGACTCATCATATTTTGTACATTTTAGATACGATTTATTCGGCAAACTTTTGAGCTGACGTCATCAGTTTTTTGTAGAAGATAACCAAATATATTTTGACTAAAAATTTATTATCCTCTTTATAACCTTAAAACATCTGCAAGATTTCAAAGCATTCGGTTTTGTAGTTCCTGATTAAATCAATAAAATAAATTTACGCATTCATTAATTTTTTTGAGTCACCCTGTATATGCAAATCGAAAAAATTTGAATGGAATGATAAATCACAAGAAGAGACTCACCATATTTTGTACATTTTAGATAGGATTTATTCAGCAAAATTTTGTGGTGACGTCATAATTTTTTTAGGGGGGACGACCAAATACGTTTTGATCAAAAATTTACCATGCTTATGATAATTTTAAAATATCTTCAAGATTTCGAAGCATTCGGTTTTGTAGTTCCTGAGTAAATCAGTAAAATAAATTTACGCTTTCATTTATTTTCTTGAATCACCCTGTATATGCAAATCCAAAAAATATGAATCGAGTGATAGATCACAAGTACAGACTGATCATATTTTGTACATTTTAGATATGATTTATTCGGCAAATTTTCGAGCTGACGTCATCAAGTTTTTGGAGGGGATAAGCAAATATATTTTGACTAAACATTTATTATGCTCTTTATAACCTTAAAACATGTGCAAGATGACAGAGCATTCCGTTTTGTAGTTCCTGATTAAATCAATAAAATATATTTACGCATTCATTAATTTTTTTGAGTTACTCTGTATATGCAAATCCAAAAAATATGAATGGAGTGATAAATGACAAGTACAGGCTCATCATATTTTGTACATTTTAGATATGATTTATTCGGCAAACTTTCGAGCTGACGTCATCAAGTTTTTGGAGGGGATAAGCAAATATATTTTGACTAAACATTTATTATGCTCTTTATGACCTTAAAACATCTGCAAGATTTCAGAGCATTCGGTTTTGTAGTTCCTGATTAAATCAATAAAATATATTTACGCATTCATTAATTTTTTTGAGTCACCCTGTATATGCAAATCCAAAAAATATGAATGGAGTGATAGATCACAAGTACAGACTCATCATATTTTGTACATTTTAGATATGATTTATTCCACAAACTTTTGAGCTGACGTCATCAAGTTTTTGGAGGGGATAAGCAAATATTTTTTGACTAAAGATTTATGATGCTCTTTATAGCCTTAAAACATCTGCAACATTTCAAGGCATTCTGTTTAGCAGATTAAAAATTAAATTTCAAAATGTTGTTTTATAATTTTGATTTTTTTTCCAAAAATCTGGACGTTTCGGGTGAAAAGTCGATTCAGAGTTGTAAACTACATGTGTAGGACTATGTTATTTTATACAATTGAAAACCCATTTACTATGTACAATTTTGAAGTGACGTCATCGCATTAGTGGTGGGGATGATTAGACAAATTTTGGTTAGCGTTTTACCATCTACATGATATTCTTAATATAAGTACAAAATTTCACAACAATCGGTCGAGTACTTTCGGAGATTATCTGTCTAATAAAAATCCGGGACAACAGACGGACAGACGGACAGACGGACGGACAGACGGACGGAAATGGGAGACCTATTTCTTCGTCTTCTAGGAGTCATGAAAGATCGAGAAAACTTAAAAGTAGAGAGTCGGCCGACGGACTCGATTACAATACTTCCCGAGCGTAAGCAATTAAGCAATTAAAAGAAAATAATATTTGGTGATATTTATATCAATAACCCAAGTAGTGCCAAAACACATTTTTAAAAGTTCTCCTCAAACAAGATTAAATTGCATTATCTTCGTAAAAACATATAAAACCGAATATAACGTATTTGAAAACTTAAATGGGTAAATGGAGGAGGCGCCGGGTTACAATGCATTATCTTTTATTGCATTCTTGATATAAAAAATATCTTCTTTTCTATGTGCTTCAAAACCACGACGTAGACGTAATTGGTATGTCCCGCATGTGTTTTGTTTAATTTTTAAAATCACTAACACTATTAAAAAATTAAGTATTACTATTTTACGAAAAAGTAAGTTAACATTAATTTTTTCACGTTGGTTCTTTGGTTTTGAAAATTCAGTACTGTATACTGTTAAACATAAACCACGTTATATATGAATATCTTTATACTTCCTTTGTTATCACAACACTTCACAATCATATTAATATTTTTTCTTGAAACAACAAGTAATCCTGTAACGAGTAGATTTAGACAGAGTTTTAGGTTAGCAACAAACAGAATTATAGTAAGAAGTAGATTGTTTTTGTATCAGTCTAACATTCTCTTTGCTATTAGTGTGTAGCACTTCAACGCATTAATCAAACGAGACGGCCATTTCAATTTTTCTAAGGGACATCGATTTGGCGACCGGTTTCTATACATCGGTATATACAACATCCACTTGACTTTTACTGTCGGAGTTGTTTGAATAAAAATTTAACCCGAACCGTTACAAAACAAGCATGGAGATGTAGATAGAAAATGAGAGAAGCTAAATAAGTGTACTCCTTAAAAACTTGTAAATGGAAGTAAATAGCTGATCACAATAATTATCGACCCGTTTCATACACTGGAATTAGTACCCGAAGTAACGAATTTCTTACTCAAAACTTGAGTAACTTTTACACATCTAGTTTCCTGATATTTGCGAAAATCGTAACTGGGTTTACACTCAAGATCATTGTTTAGAATCATCATGAATGTTAAATTTGTTAACAACAAAAAATATAAGCTTTGAAAATGTATTATTAAACGAAACACAAAATGTTTAACTAGGAACCCAGTGTATGACAATACTTTCTGGAACATACCTGTACACTTAACGGTTACACACTAACTAACATCGTTATTTAATTAGAAATCAATCGAAGTGCTTATTTAATTAAAAGTTGGAGTAATGAATGATAGATAACAAAAGTAGAATGGTCTATACGCACGCTCAATACACTTTCACATGCTTTGATGAACTTTCATAATTTTCATAAAAGCTTACATAGGTGAGTTAAAGTGGGGTAAGACGGGAATTCTCCAATATTTCGTAATTCAAACGTACAAATAATACTTCACTAGATAAATTGAATCGTCAGATATATATTTATTGAGTTATATAATGAATTACTACACTAGGGAACCGGTGCAGTAATATTAAATTACCTCACTGACCTAAAAGTAAGAATTGATGTTTCGTAATTTCTGGTGTGTACCAATTCGTAGAATGTCTTTATCGTACTTGTGACGTAAATAGCCGTCCCATCGTTCACTTAATAACTTTTCTATTAAAAAAAAAGGAAAAAAAGGAAAATAGTTGGTTTAGTCGTATCTGTTTAATGGCAATAATGCTATTGAGTTGCTCAAGCATATAGAGTATCCTATAGTGTCAGAAACAGATGTATCTAAGTTACGGATCCTAAATTCCCCAGGAATTATCTCCTAACCCGAGCGTTAGGCGACCCGGAATCCCATTGTTGATCACTCTACTGAACCAATTGTCTATTGTCATCTAACATAATTGTAGTGCACCATTTTAAGCACTATATTCTCGGAATGAATTACACTCGGAACGCACCGACAAATTCGATAGTTATCGATAAAGAAATACCTTAATTATAAATTATTTCAAAGGAAAACCCAAGTCTGTTATTAGTAATTTAAATTGGGCACGTATTAGTAAATAAATTATTAAATTTATTAAGCAACGGCTAAAGATTGAAATTATACTTGTGCCCTGCTGAATTCTATTAGCGTTTTAAAAAATTTTTATTATTTGAAGTTTTATAGTGGATTTTAAATAACTATTTAATACTATTTCCTGTTAACTGTAAATTATAATTGACTTAAATTTTTTAGAAATACGTACTCGTCGCTCATCGAACATCTGGTTTAAACATGCAACAGCTATTTTGTTGTATATCGGTTTAAGTTGAAAACAGAAGTTTAATGTTGAATTCAATAGCACACAATCAACTCTCAACTCATTAATAAATAAATAAAAAATTGTTGTACGTATGAGAAGTTCTTGTCAGGGCTTAGAAAATGCAAATCCTGTTGTAAATAAAAATGAGTACTTTCTTATCCCATTTACTACACAATATTTATTTTTTCAACGTTTTTGAAGTTTTTGGAAGAAGCTGACGAATTTTTGCGTAGATAACTTCCAAAATGGTTTTCCTTCATCATGTAAGTCTGTTTTAGATATTTCCTAATTTGAAGCATAACCGTAGAAAGAGAAAGATTTTCACTCTGCGCTTTTGATCCAGTGATCTCACAAAGACCATACTCATAATTGAATTTATTGCGTTGAAACGAGGAACGATATTATATAGATAGAGGGTACTAGTAACGATTTAACTTTTCAAACTATTAACTACTACAAAAAATTCAACATTTTTTTTATACTCACTTCCAATTTTCGCAGTTTTCAAACGAGGGCTAAACAAGGAACCTGAAAAATGAGCAAATTACTATATTTGATAACAAAAATAACATGGTCTATATAATAGTTAATTTAGTTGTTTGCGTTTTAATTCAAGTAAAATTTTCTGACTGTTTATAAAAAAAAACTTTCTTTGTACCAGAATTTTTCGAAAACCTATACATACTTTGTTCATGTTTGTTCACTATTTTATCGTAAGTGATGGTATTATTTCACCTGTGCTAATAATTTGAAATGCACCTGAATCTAATTCATTACGCCAGCGGTTCTCAACCTTTTAGTCTTCACGACCCATTTACCAATAACAGTTTTTATCGCGCCCCCCCTCAAAAATTTGCTCAAAAATTTTGGGAGCAGAAAGCATGAAACCTAATAAACTTAAACGCCATTTGGAAACGCCTCATAGTGAATTTGTTGTTAAACCTCGGCAAATTTTCGAATTAAAATTGAAATCATTTGAAAAGCAAAAAAAAATCTTTGGAAATGAAAAAGCTTTACTTGGATCGTACAAAGTTTCATATAGCGATATGTAAAAAGCTGTATACCATTGGCGAAGAACTTATTCTACCAGCTGCAATTGAAATTGTAGAAACTATGTTTGGAGATAATTTTACCAAACAATTAAAGTTTGTACCTCTATCAAATGAGACTGTTGCGCGTCGAATTGGTGATATAGCTAACGATGTACAGCATCAGCTTTTTGAGAAATTGGATGATAAATTCTTTTCAATTCAGCTTGATTAGGCAACAGATAGCATTAAAGATGCGTATGTTCGATTTTGTCTGGTGTTCAGCAGTAGAAGAACTGCTTTTCTGCAAACCAACAGAACTCAAAGCAACAGCAGTTACATTATTTGCTACTTTAAATGATTTTCTAAACGAAGGAAACATAGAATGGAACAATTACGTCGGAATATGCACCGATGGTGCTCGTGCAATGTCTGGAAAATTCCAAAGTACCTATGCAAACACTTGTGAAACAAAAATCTCCACAGTGGGTGTGGACGCATTGCAGATCCATAGAGAAGCTTTGGCTTCCAAGGAAATGAGTCCTGGTTTGAATATTGTACTAACGACGGTTCTGACAGCAATAAATTATATAAAAATGAGATCCTTAAAAATCAGAATATTTTCTGAACTTTACAAAGACATGGGTGCAGTACATTCATCGTTATTTTTTTATTGCGGGACAAGATAGTTATCACGTGGAAGATTTTCGCAACGTGTTTATGAATTAAGAGATGAAATTATCATTGATTTAGTAGACGAACACAGACCGGAAGTCGAGAAGTTTCGAGATTATTAATTTGTTATGAAATTGAGCTACTTGGTCGACATTTTCGAGAAATTAAATATTTTGAATCTTCAACTCCAAAGAGCAAACACACATATGTTGGATACTAGTGATAAAGTAGAGAATTGGAATTGTGGAACAGAAATGTAAAGCAAAAAACCTAGAAATGTTTCCAAACGTGGATGAATGTGTTAAAACTTACAAGGTTGAGGAACAACTCATATGAAAGTTGTTCTTGTAACCATTGAAAATCATCTAGCCATGCTGGCAAAGAATTCTACAAAGTATTTTTTGCTGATGAGAATTTGCTAGCAGGTTACGAGTTGGTTAGGGATCCATTTCAAAACACTCCTGACGGCCTTTCAACTGCTGTAGAAGAAATGTTCATACACTTCCCGGCAAGCGGCGAAATCAAAAGACAATTTAGTAACAAACCACTCTTTGAATTTTGGGCAAGCTTACATAATAAGTTCTCTGCGCTGAAAACAAGAGCGCTACGTATACTATTACCATTTTCAACATCCTACCTTTGTGAAACCGGATTTTCTACGATGGCTGCATTGAAGACAAAATATAGGTCTCGGTTGAATGTAGAGAAAGAACTTAGAGTGTCAATTTCTCAAATTAAACCGCGTTTCGAAAAGCTTTGTGTGGTTAAACAGGCTCAAAGGAGTCACTAATGATTATCACTATTGCTGCATTTTTATTTAATTATTCAGAATGAATTTTATTTACTTTTTTAACAATATATTTAATTTTTTGTAGTAATATATTCATTATTATTTTAAATATACTTTATTTTTTCTAAAAAATATATTTCCTTATTTGCTCGCGCCCCCCCTCTAATGTTGTCGCGCCCCCCTAGGGGGGCGCGCCCCACAGGTTGAGAATCGCTGCATTACGCTTATCTATGAAGTTATTCTTAATAGGTAAAATAACAAAGAGTTCACATTATCAATAGATAGTATCTAGTGACTTACGTAACTTGACTAATTTGTGTTTTGAAATACATTACACCGAACATACCAGGTTTATCCACGCTGTGATTGTCAAAAATAATGCATTTAAAGATGACTTATTAAAACGGTATTTTTTGAAGAGCATATTGTATATTTTACAAAAAAATTATGAAATATTAATTTCAGTTTGAAACACTAAAAATTGGCTGTTTTTAAAATATGACGTAAAAATTGGGTGTTTGATCTTCATCAAACTTTAGGCAAAATTCTTATCCCGAGTGGTCTACAAAACTACTTCTGTTAATCTGCTACATATTAAAAAAATGGCTATTAATGTGGACTCTTTACAAGTAAATTCAATTTACCTAGAGCAGCAACGTTGCGTGCTCAGTGAAACGAATTTTTCAGAGATATTACACATAAACTAAATACTAAGCGAACTAAAGACAAGAATTTCCCTTTTTTAATTTCCATTGATTCTGTGTGTGCGTGATACCAAGCTAACCATTTGAATTTTGCCTCACACAAGTTAGCTTTTTAAATTTGAAATAAGTTCATAGAATAGAAATTCAGACCGTAGTTTTGAAGAATTTTCTTTGATCACTCGGTACACCATAACACTATAACGTTTATTACCCCGCAAACTAAACACTTTAGTTTTGTTTAGGTAATGTCAACGAAACGTTATAGTAAACTTTTAAAAACAGTAAGTTCTATGTTTCCCACCGTACTTTTCCTTTAAAACATATAAAACATTTATCACAAGGTTGTATTACAGACGAATTTGAAAATGGAGTCTGAAAACAAACACATTTTTTCTCCAGAAAAAAACTTAGTGCAGGCTGGAAAAATATTTTTATGTTGAACAGGTGATTAAAATCGATGTGGGTAAACTCAACGCTTTATTTGTTACTAACTCCAATTTATTCGACTAACTCTTACAGCGACTATGTACAAAAAATAATTCCGGGGCAACTTGAATGAATTCGCTCATTCGCTGGACTCGACTTGTTCAGTGAATAATAATCGTTCCCTAAGGGGGTCCTTCTCGAAAAGCCTAAGCCACCGCTTCTAGACTTCTCCGGAGCCCCCATTCGCGACCTCCGCTTCCAGACCTTTCTCTAGTGAGCGCCGGGTGCTGTCCTCGACGATGAGTCATCTCCGTATACACTATAAAGCTCTCGACAACCCATTGGTGTCGTACCGGGGCGGCGTATGGGTTTATTTCGTAATAATATTTTAATCACTTTAAATAAGTAACTAGAAATTAGAGTAAAGAGTTCGTGTGGTGGCATGTAAACAACTTCGCTGTAAGAATTAACTTCTATTTGTAGTTTTTACTTCCGCTCCTAAGCTGAGGAAATATTGTAGTATTCGATTATTGGCTAGTTTCATATTTTCTGGACGTTTCCTGATCCCTGGAATACGAAACAGTAGGGTCTCCCGTTTTCATCTATCTCCCTGTTTGTCGGTCTATCATCTGTGTTGATTTTTATTCGACAGATACCAGGAATATCGTGCAAGTGGTATAATGACAATCAAAATTTGTCTGGTCAACCTCATCCACACGTAATTATCTTATTTTAAAATTTTGCATCGTAAACACCATTTCAATTTCATAAAATAATATATTCTTGTGTTTTCGGAATCCGCTTTGTTTGTGTTTATTATTACTATTTTTTATTGTTTAAATCTTCTTCTACTTTAGTCACATAATACGCAGCTGCATACACCCATGGAGGGGCGCTCTACTTTGCAGATGAAAGGAGTGTGGTTCAATCCCCGGTGGCGTTTCTGTTTTTTTTTTATTGATGAAATCACGTTCAGGTACACCCTTCTTTTTATTATTATTACTAGTACAGTGCGTGTTTCGGAACTGGCATACGAGTCCTTGCCAAATTGTTGATCGGAATATTTTCCGGTGGAAAAACCCACTAGAAACACAGGCTTGGTCTTAACTTTTATCAATATATTTATATTTCTATAATTAATCGGGTTTCCGTGTCCTATCATGGGTGGACAAGTGCAATCTGTGCACCAGGTCAAATATAAACAACTCAACGGTGTGTTTTCGCAACGTAATATGTTCTAGTCAAAGGTAGTGGCAGATTATTTCATTGTACTTCACAAGCTACTATGCAGAAGCTGAACATTGAATTTGCCTGTTCGTAATACTTAAAAAAAAATGGAAAATGAAATATTAAAACAATTGAACCTTTGGAGAGATTTAACCTCACTTCAAAAAGTCTGAATATGAGAGGATCGCGTCAGGATCTTTGTTACCGTGACTTCGGAACCAGAGTGTGTATACAATCGAGAGAGATGTGGTATTATTAATAAATATGTGTTACTAAAATTAATGATTTGCTTGAACTGAATCAGAAAACATTATATGTAGCTGTCTTGGGAGTATCATGACTTCCTAATACACGTATGTCTATTCTATTGCTTTTCAATATACATTAGCTCTGCCTGGTATCCCCTACTTGATCAAGACTTTTTTCAGGCAAGTAGGATGAATATTTGCGATATTCTAGACAATTTCTTAGCCACTGATCTTTCCTTGGTGCAACATAAATCGAATTTGGTAATAAGAGCCTGATTTAGAAAAGTTAAACATGAAATTATAACAAGTTATTAAAACTCGAAACATGAAAATAAAACAAATTAGGTATACACATGACAAATAATGTCTTTAGAAAAACTGGTGAATATTTAAAGCAAATTTTAATACACGTATTATACTGGCGATTATT